CAGCCAAAAATTCCTGGCTGGGTGTTTTTATTTTGTTTCTAATGATTTTAACCTATAATTTTCTTCCGACTGCTGCCGTGGAGAATTGATCCAGGTCCATTCCCCACCTGTAAACGACAGACTGAGAGACTTTCATTATTCACTGTGACTGCATGATGTTTTCATCACTCCTAAAGCAACACATCTCTACTTATTTTGTTTTGAACTCTACTGAACTTTAAACCCCAAATGTGAAATTTTATTTGGTCTTAACGCAAACACACAGAAATCTTCTTGATGTTGTTATTGGTTATTTTCGTCCACCACACTCCAAATCATGTTTTCATTTTGTGTCAGCAGCAGGGGAAGAAGGTGACCTCTGCTATCACTGCTTCCCCCAGTTGGAGACATTTTCTCACTCACACTTCCACACTTTTATTTTCTTTGCTTTCATCACTTTCTTTCTCTTTTTTTCTCTTTTTTTTTTACACGCACACATTAACCTGTTAACTCACTCTTCCAACCTCATTTTCCTTCCACCCCAACAGCTCTCATGCAGTCAGCCATCAAATCCTCCATTCATCCTTGAGTACTTGATCACCTTTAAATGTCACTGTTAATTTTATCAATTTATTTATCACTACCTTAACACTAATCCACTGTTTTAGTTTTCTTTCTTTATTTTCCATTCACTTTCTCCTATTTGATCACTAGGATTTCTTGACTATTATTATTTCACAGAAAATCAACTGATCTACTTCTTCTCCCTCTTCTGTCATCCAGGAATTCGCACACACTCACAGGCTGGTCACTCGGCCCCCACCTTTTCTTTCTCTCACAGACACACACACACTTTACTCCTTGTTCGGTCCGCCTGTGAACCCCCCCCTCGAGGCTGGCTCACACACACTTCATGCTTTTTGCAGTCCCATTCAAACTCTCTGTGAGACACTTCCTTCTCTGCTTATTCTGGACAACGCCCTGGACGCTCTTATGCACCTCACAAATTATTCAAACTGCGCCACGGACTCGATACCGCAGTTTCTCTTCCTTTAAAATCAATGTTGGGACTAACGCGTTATTAAGTAACGCGTTACAGTAACTACGTTATTATTGTGGTAACGAGCACGGTAACTAGTTATTATGCCAAAATCAGGAACGCGTTACTCGTTACTGGGATTTAGATAGGGTCGTTACTCGTTACTTCGTGTGGTGGCTATCGCGGAGCTTCCACAGATTCAGTAACATTAGCAAGTGGTGGAGGCCAGCAGGTGGATGAAGGAAAAGGGACGCAGAAGGAAAAGAGACCCGAGGCGGCCGCCGGTCCAAGTGTGAACTGAACTTCAGGTAAGAAGTTATGACCTGCAGTCTCTCTGGGTCAGATATGAACCAAGTTTAGGTGGAGTTTATTTTCGTTATTCTGACTTTTTCCGTACTGCGTGCTAGCTAGCATGACGGAGTTTCTATACAGCTGGGTGGTGCTATGAAGTTAATGATGTTGAACTTTATTTTGTTCATAAGTTATTAGAGTTGCCAACCGTCCCGTCTGGTATTCAGAGAAAATATTACGCGTTTCTTATTGAGGTGAAAAGGAACAGTTTGTCCCGTAATTCAGCTACAATGAAAAAGAGCACAAAGCTGGAGTTATTCTGTGTCTTTGCTGCACAGCTGCCTCTTCTTCTCTCATCCTCTCCCCCTCCCTCTCCCGTTTCTACTTCAATCATGAAACTGATCAATGATCAGCTGATCGGCTCTCTTGTTTGTTTATCGCTCACTTTGCGCCGAAAGAGGAAACCAGCGGATGTCGCGCTAAACAACAGCAGCACGTTTAAGCTTGATCAGCTGTTGTTAGAATTTATTTAATATTAATTTCTAGTATCAGCTGATGTTTGCTGGAGCCACAGCTGTAAAGCTGCTGGTCATGATATGGTTTGGTTATTGGTGAGAGGGAAACATGAAGATGAAACCAGGAGATGTCCTTACTGAATCATCAGAGCTAACGTGATGGAGAAACAGGTTTACCTTTTAGGTGACATGAATGAGTTGAAGGGAAGTTATGAACTGTTTCTGAGAGACAAATAACACCAGGATCCTTTTTATGTAGCTGACAGCTGGTAACTGTGCAGGGGCGGGTCTAGCAAAGTGTTGCCAGGGGGCCAGGTAGGGCATTAACAGGGAGAGGGGGGCACAAAGAAATACTTTTCTTTCTTATTCTCATTTAAAATGTCTAGCTTTTAAAAAATAATTATCTGAATCTTACAACAAACGATTGATAGATTGATGCATATATACCATCAGAACAGTGAACATCACTGTCACAACAGTGTTTATTTTCATTCAAAGGCTTTATGATTTTTCCTATAATGGTGGGCCAGTCTCTAGTCAAAATGCCGGGACATTATTTGTTCCCAGTCCAGCCCTGTATGCAGCTCATCTGCAGTCTGGTGTTACCTACATCTTCCTATTCAGAAGGCAGAATTTCCGAGTTCTGAGTACAATCGAAAGCACCACGACTGCAGTTTTTGTGTTGGATGTAAAAGGCGCACATGACGCTGTGACGTAGGCTAGAATCATGGCAGCAGTCAATGACGGTCCAGGCGTGGGATTTCTCTCGTGGAAATATGCACATTATCTTTTCCTTTCTATTGGTAGGTGGCACAGTGCACTGTGGCAAGTAAGCAAGCTAGAAGACTGGCAAAGTTATGGAAGCAACACATTAACAAGAGAATTCTGAGTAAAACCAAAGTTACTTTCCCTAGTAACTAGTTACTTTGAAAGTAAGAGTAACTTGAAGTAACTGAGTTACTTTTGAGAGAAGTAACTAGTAATGTAACTAAGTTACTATTTTAAAGTAACTTACCCAACACTGTTTTAAAATATATAAAACCAAACTCAACCCCCCCATTGACTTCACAGTTTGCAACAACTCGTGACACGGCCTCCTGCCGCGATTTTTACACACCACAAACACACTATTTGGTTTAATCCTCAAACACTCAGCTTCTGTATTAAATCATTTTCACAGCACACGCAGTTATAATCAATATAAGCAATTCACACAGCCAATTTACACTTTATTTTATATACTCAGGCCTGTATCAACACGACAAACGACACCAGATGCCAAGACAAGTTATTCAACCGTTCCTTATTCTTATTCTTATTCTTATTCTTGTCACTTTGTTGGGGGAAAACTCTGTAAAAAACCCAGGAGAAATAAAGACACAATGAGACAAAGTTACTTTTTATGCTTTAACGTGAACACGGGTGAGCTGCTGAGAACAACTCACGTCGTGAACAGAGGCTTGGCACTTTTTATAGAGAAAGACAGTGAGAACAGGATAAGAAAATAATAAACAGATAAAATAAACAACTCCATATGTGGCGCTAGTCTCGTCAGCAGAGAGCTGGGAGAAAGCTGTGAGAGATAAAACAATCTAAAACAATATGTCCCAAAACAATATGTCTTCGCTGGGAAAGTCTAAAAGGATAATTCTAAACTAATCTAACCATAGACAAAGGGCAGAGAAAAGGCATCTTTGTACATTTAAAAGAAGGTAAAGAAACATAGAATCATTTTCCACTAACATTCCCTCCTGTTTTAACTTATTTTAAATGTATACAACAATTGTCTGTGAAGGTTATTTATTAAGTATCTTTAGCAATTTTTTAATTGTCAAAATGTCAGCATAGCAGAAATGTAAATCATGTGGGCTAAAGAATGAAACAAATAAAAGAATAAAAGAATTAAGGAAAATACAGTAAAAGAAAGTATAAAAGTAATAATGAAGAAAAATAATAAAACTAAAACTACAAAAAATAAAAGAATAAGAAAACCTTATGTTGTACCTGTATAAACTACTAATGTGTTAATCAGTGCATGATCACTTGACAAGTCATTTTTAATCACCACGTCATTTATTAGCAGCTATTACAAGTTCCTCTAACAGAATTGCAACGGGATGCTGTTCTTCTTGAGGCACGGCAACATAAGCAGTCATTGTAGTTGTTATCATCTTTGAAATCATTACTCTTAGACATGGCAACACACACAACACTAATATGAGCAGTGCTATCATGATGAAACCTAGAAGGACAAACGGTTTTGTTACAGCAGCCAGCCATGAACCGCCGAACAGCCAGTCCAGCCAGCCTTGTGCTGTAGCTGCTCCAGGTGTGTGGTCAGTGACATATTGTTGCAGAACGGTCAAATTCTGCAAAGCTTCATAAATGTCTCCTCCAGCTTCGTATCCATCAGGGATAAAAGTGCAACATGTCTCCCCGATCAGCTTGCAAACTCCTCCTTGTGATGCTGTTAGCAGATCCAGAGTCAGTCTGTTCTGCAGTACCATCGTTCTGATGGCCTGCTGTTCTCCTGCTAAGGCCGTTCCCAGGGCCTTAGTTAAGTTGATGTGTCGTAGCAGAGCATATCGGTTGATTTCCACGTGATCCCGCACCTCGGCAACTCCAATGCCGGGGACCAAGCTCTGTAAGAATTTCGACTCCTCCTCCCCAGATGCGAAACTCTCCCGGCACTCCAGTGTCCACTGTAATGCCGAAAGAATTGGGTGAGGCGATGTCCACTTCACGTCTCTGTCGGCTGCTTGGGTGATGTGCAACACGTTGCATGAAGAAGACGTGATCTGATAATTGCACCAGGGCGCACAGACCCCCCCAACCTTCAGGGAGTGACAGATAAGCCTTATTGCCACATAGGAAGTACCAGTCAGCCAAAACTCTGGTTCCTCTACTGCTGGGTGCCGTCCGTGCACATCCTGTCTGGTACTGAGTCTTTGTTTGTAGTGGCATTCGGTAGCTGTAGTCGGAGCGACAGTTGAGGCTCATCAGCGTCGTCGTTACTGGCACAGGTGTCGTTGATTGAACAGGCCATACACTTCCTCTCGTTCCTCGGTGGGCAGAAAGTGTATATGTACTTACATAGGTGAGTAGGCAGCTCCCCCACTGCCCGCGATCCATTGTTCATCACACATACTGGCAGTTGTGATGCGTTCAGTTTGTTCAGTAGAATTACATCAGGCAGTGGGTCTGAGACTTGGGGCCAGGTCAGTAGGTAGGTCTGTCCGGAACAGTTCACATTTGTGGGTGATGATGACCTCCAGGTTGCTTTTGCTGGGATGCTGTAGTTGGCCTTGGACCAAAGAGTACCGTAGCCTGGATGTGTTGCCAGGCCCAACAGGCACCAACTGCGATCTTCAGGTATGCTGTACGGCCACAGGCCAGACGTCTGTGAGGATAGGGGCATATGGGTACATGCATAGCAGTCAGTTTTATTATTCAAGTGAGCTGTAGTGTTCATAAACTGCCACCAGAAGTTAGTGGCGTAGCCATGGGGAAACTTGGTGTACTTTCCTTTGTCATACAGTGTCTGCCTTTTCTTCATATAGCGTGACTTGTTGTCCCTCACGGAAGCAAAGATGAGGAGCCCGGCCAGGGTCAGGGCCGCTGCAGTTATTAGGAGCCACCACCTCATGACAACAGGACACACCCTCCTGTCGTGAGTAGACCCCCCGGCCAGAAAGGCTGTTCCCTCCACCGGGCGAGATCACGACAATTGGGCGAGCCTGTGTCGGCTGAGTTTAGATGGCTTCACTTACTCGTCTGCAATGGCTCTGATGGATCCAAGATGGTCGTTCCGCTATTTTGCAAGCGGTGGGCGTGGCGAGGAGAACCTGATGTGGTCCCTCCCACCTGGGTGCGCTCCAGTTTTTCCTTTGGAGCACCTTGATCAGAACCCAGTCACCGGGCTGTAATCTGCAAGACACTTGATAGACATCATTACATTCTTCGTTATTTACAATCATCTCTTTATTTTCCTACAACTTAGACATACATTTTGCTACTGAAATTGTATCTGCCTTTTTCACTGGGTAGATTTCTGGCCACTTTGAGAATACATCTATAACCACTAGGGCGTATTTTTACCCTTGGCATTCATTTAGCTCAATAAAGTCCATGTGGATTGTTTTGACACGTCATGCACGTTCTGACAAATTGTTTTGCTGATGTTTCAAAATTTACAGTGTAGAATTTACAGTGTAGAAATGAGAGTTGACAATACTGGTCAGTCCCCCCGTTGACAAATGCGTACAGCCATGAGTCACTAATGCCGCCATTTTGTGGAGGAATTTTGGCAACACTGGCTTGCCATAACACATCATTAAGTCGTTTGTCAGAACTGCTCCGTGTTTTAGCCATTTTGCCTGCTCTGCTGTGCTTGCTGCTTTTTGTTCATTTTTCAACACATCCAGTGGAATCTGATGTGTGTTTACTGCCATCAATGTGAAGTTTGTCTTTTGTGCCGCCTGTTTTGCTGCTCTGTCAGCAAAGTTATTGCCTGTAGCAATGAAAGAGGCGTTGTAAGAGGTTGGCATGCTGAACTGGTTTTCCGGTTGGTGTAATCATTCCTCTGGTTTTCCAAATTTTTTGCAAAATGATGCACAGCAGAGAAAACATACTGGCTGTCTATATAAATGGTTATTTGTTTATCTTTGTGTATTTCACATGCGCAAATCACAGCTAACAGCTCAGCGCTCTGTGCAGAATATGAACAAGAAAGTGGTTTTGCTTCTATTATTCTACTATCTGTGGTCACTGCGTAACCTACACAATTTCGGCCTGTGCTGTAAGGTCAAGTGCTGTTCTCCTAGCTTCCACACTTGCTGATCATAAGGTGGATCTGGGCCTGGAGTTTGTTTAAATCTCAGAATGTTGTGATACTCGGTCGGTTTCTGGAAAGTGGATGTGGCGGGTGTCATTTAGCATGCACTCAGGTGTAATACCAGAAAAGAATGCCATGACTGCTATCTTAAGTTTTGTCAGAGCGTCTCTACCTAGCAAATTTACTGGACACAACGGGTCATATGCATTTAATAAAGCACCTGCGGCCACTTGCTGTATGTACTAGTTCTAAAGGGGCAGTTAATTGTTGTACAGTTGTGTGGCCTGCAGCTGACTTTACAACTAATTTGTCCTTTGAAAACTGTAAGTTCTTAAGTGGCTGCCTCAAAACTGTTTTGCATTATTTCTCTGTGGCCTACTCCTACAATCTCGTGTGAAGTGACCTTCCTCTCCACGGTTCTAGCAGGCGTTGTCTCTATGTTATCTGCTGTTTCTGCGTGGCTGTCTGCAGCCTTGGTGTTTGTGACTTTGCTCGCCTCTCTGTTCCTGATAGCCACCTGCGAATTAGTGTTTTAGTCTATTGTCAACACGTCAGCCTTATTTTTAAGTTACAGAATGCTGCTTCTTTTTTTGTCTTGGTTTGGGAGAATAGATGCAACACTACATTTTCACTTAAGGCATTTTTAGATAATTTCTAGTTTTTCAAACAAGTCATGGATCTCACACATTTCAAACTTTCAAGTTAGGGTTGTTTCCCATTTATACATATATATATTTAACTTTGCATTGCTCACAGCTCATAGCTCACAGCTCTAAACCTAGGCATTTTCCAATCATATGCCTAATCACTGTGTCACTGTGATTCTCAAGTATTGTCACAAGTTCGTTTAAATTTGTTTCCAAAACCAACAAAATAATCAAACAAAAACAAAAACATAAACGTGTCAGGACACAAAAGAAAAAAGAAAAAATGCTGCCACCCGAACAAGGCAGAAGTCTGCATATGTTGGCTTTTAATAGCATGCAGCTTGTAACATGGTAGACTAATGTGCCTGTGTTAATTCAGCTCCATATTATTGTGTGAAGTTGCACTGGGTTGGGAGTGGTTTTGTGTGTGTCACATTTTTGGTGAGCCAATGGCTGGAATGGGGTTGGACTAATTAGAGGCAAGTGTACTTGATTGCACTGATACACTGGTCTACTTATAGCCCACACTACAAACACTGCTGTGTCGTTTTGTCTCTCTGTGCAGGTATGTAATGTGATGAAATCAGATATGTTTGGGATGGATGGGTTTTGCGCTATGAATTTTATATTAAGTGTGTCGTTTTGTCTCTCTGTGCAGTCCAGGGCCTATTATATGCCACAGCCTAAAGGCAGCAGGGTTGCAGAGGCTTGAGTGACCACTGACTATATGCTTGCAGGGTGGTGGGTCTCCAAGGACAACTTCTAACCCTGTTAAAGGCAACATGTGGAGTGTAACTTGGCCGTGTGGCATAGCTGGCTCTGGCCTTGGGACTGTGTGTTTTTATACAATTCATAAGTGGGACACTGGACTGTTTTATCTTTTATCTCTTGATATATTTTTCGTCAATAAATTATCTTTTAGAATTTTATTGACTGTCATCTTTTTGCCCACGACTGAGACGGTTGGTCAGACCTAGAGTCTTTCTTTGGGTGTGTTACAGCAGCTTCTGCTCTAAAAGAAACAAAAAAAGAAAAAGAAAATGTGGAACATGCTCATCAGCTTAGCAGTGTCTACATATTTAATTCAGCTTCTCAATCCTGTAGTTTTAGCTGTTGTCTACAGGGTTTTGCTTATTGGTTGTTATTATAGGTGTGCTCTATATCTCAGCAATGTGTCATTCTAGAGATGATAGGTTTCAAGCTGGTCAAGTGCCTCTATGCACTTCATTAGTTTAGTTATTCTCTGTATTGTCTTCATCTCACATGTCATTACACTGAGTTTCAGCAAACCTTAAGCTTGATGCAGACTACTGCTTAACAATTATCCACCTCACATCATAACCGACTAAGGTGCCTCTTCATATTAATATTATGTCATTGTTAATATTATCCTCTTTGTCTTATATAACAGCAATAGCATATTATAATATTTTATTAGTGTGTACCATTATACTACTACTGAGCCAATTTGTTAGTTAGGATCATCTTATTCAGCAAACAGATCATTTAGAATTCATCCAATCTGCGGTCACATTTGTTCTCTCTGTTGCATGGCGGACCAGGCAGTTCTATTATATTATTTATATTTTATTTTGTATCCATCAAGGGCTTCAGATGACCTGCAGTATCATCCTTTTCCCAAGGATGGAGACAGTTACCTTTTCACACACTGTCCTTGGCTGAACAGTGACACAGCCTTAATATACTTTATTTATGTTATTAAAATATTTTCGTGTGAATTATTTGCTTTATATCCATTTTATACATTGTGGGCATGGTCATCATGCCAACTGTGTTTCATTGATTAATATCACTTTACAGGTTGTTATCCTTGCTATTATTAATTTCAAATACTCTAAAGATAATTTCTACTGTAATTTTCCCTTTGTTTATCTTTATTTCGTACTTTTTATATTTATATCTACTCAGTGGGGTCTGTTTTCAACCCTTTTAAACTACCTCAAACTACTGTGATCTCTAGTTTTCACTTAATAAGGGATTATTATGTTCTTCCTGATATGGGTGTTGCTGCAGATGCGGCTGCAGAAATGAGTGTTGGTTTACTAAAAGGATTGTGGGCACTGCACAGTGTCTCGTCTTCTGGTTTTACTAAACTGGCAGTTGAGTTCTATTCTTCTGACTGTTTATATTTTGTTTTCTTAAATCTCTCAATTTACAGACATTGTTTTGTCCGGCGTCTGGACTTTTCTTTTCTCACCACTGCTCGTCAGCAGGAGTGAGTTTTAATTTCACTTGCTTGATTACCCATCTTATTTATGTATTTACTTATTTTTGTTTAAGTAATATATACACGATACAGCTGCTATCACCTTCGCTGGTATTAGAGACGAGAGTGGTTGCTCACACGCCCTTCGACTTTCGGACTAGTTCCGAAAGCGGTGTGAACTTTACGAGACGGAACTCGACCGTTCTCTCAACTCACCAGCACGTCAGTGAACAGCAGTAAAAGAAAAACACAGTAGGAGCAGCTCAGTCTCTTATTGGACCGTGAAAATTCAGCTTGCTCCGTTAATTAAAACAATACACACACACACACACACCTATTCGCGCGACCGGAACCCTTATCATAAGGGGAGCTGCCAGTCTTTCTGTAGACGAGCTACTTATTCCCTAGACCCTGTCTAGACCCAGCTGGGGGAGCTACCCAGAGCTCCAAACCTAACCCACAGAAGTGGGGAGCTTCCAGTCGACGAGCTCCAAGCTACCAGCCGACGAGCTACTTTAAACCTAACCCACAGAGGTGGGGAGCTTCCAGTCGACGAGCTCCAAGCTACCAGTCGACGAGCTACTTCCGCTATTTTAAATTCCCTGAATTTAAAATACGCTTTTTACGCAAGATTGTGTCAGTGTGTCTGTATCTACCTGGTCAGTGTCGCCGGGTCTGGTCCACCTCGATCGGGCCCCACCACCGTGGGTCGCTTTCTAAGACGTTGGCCAAGACCCGAATTTAACGCTCTTGGTCTTTTTCCACACACCTGGTGTGTGAGCTGTCGACAGGCGAACAACGTGGACTGGTCACGGAGATGGGACACGATGGAGGCGCTCCGGCTCCGAAGGACCAAGAAATGTTGGGGGAAAACTCTGTAAAAAACCCAGGAGAAATAAAGACACAATGAGACAAAGTTACTTTTTATGCTTTAACGTGAACACGGGTGAGCTGCTGAGAACAACTCACGTCGTGAACAGAGGCTTGGCACTTTTTATAGGAAAGACAGTGAGAACAGGATAAGAAAATAATAAACAGATAAAATAAACAACTCCATATGTGGCGCTAGTCTCGTCAGCAGAGAGCTGGGAGAAAGCTGTGAGAGATAAAACAATCTAAAACAATATGTCCCAAAACAATATGTCTTCGCTGGGAAAGTCTAAAAGGATAATTCTAAACTAATCTAACCATAGACAAAGGGCAGAGAAAAGGCATCTTTGTACATTTAAAAGAAGGTAAAGAAACATAGAATCATTTTCCACTAACACACTTCTTATTTTATTCTTGTCACTTCTTATCCTTATTCTTCTTCAAAACCTCTGTAGCATTACACCTAACTTTTTGACTAATTTAAAAGCCTCTAAGCCCAGGTCCAACCTTGCTGGTCAATCCACTCGCTTCGGGAACACCGTTGCCGACAGCGGTCAAATTTCTAAGCCCTAATTAATTTATAACCGTTCCCCGCAGCCCGACAGGGAGCTTCACGTCCGGCGTCTAAGTATTACACTTGCGCTTTTCCGCTTTACTTAAAGCTCACAGGTCAGTCACGTTGTGGTTACGGCCGGGTCCAACCCTTCACCCAAATAGCACAGTAAAAAGGTAATCCTTGACTACCTGGCCTTTAACGGGTGTCCGAATTCCCGTGGGAGGCCACCCGAGCTAAAAATAACCACGTGTCCACGGTTATTGGTTGCTGCAACACGCTGAACAACTGCGCTCTGCGGAGTCCAACTCCGGTCTAAGTAATTTCCTTACTTTTTTAAAAGCATCACTGTGGGCTCTCAGCCCCCAGTCTTTACTTGATGCCCGAACCCAGTTCTGCTGGTCAATCTGACCAAATACCCTAACTAAAACTTGCTGGCTGGCGTCACAGTCAACAAATATAACACATCAATTTAAACACATAACATATTAACTTAAAATTCACCCCAGAATTAACAGCAATAAATTTTGTCAGTCAAATATTCCCCAATCTTTTATCACTAATTACCCCAAAATCACCATGGACACGGACCAGAAGCTCTACTGAGTGAACATTTAATTTAGCTTAATTTCCAATTCAGCACCTTTGGATATTTTTAATCAACAGGTGGTGCTTACCTCTCTTATTCCGGGCCCATCACTTAGTCGACCTGCTGGCTGTCCGTCCGTTTGACACCACTAAACCTCAGCCAAACCCAAGTCCCTCATCAAACCAGGTTTTCGGCACCAAAACTGTCCTGATTCGTGATTTGAGGAAGAGACATACGACTGAAGGTCCATTGTGTGTCAAAACAATGATTTTATTAAAACACATATATGTGGAAAGATGAGCTCTGCAAAACATCAGCCTCGATCTTCTTCGAACAATAAATGGGGTGTCATATATATAAAACATCAGGGTATCAGGAAATATAACGCCCCCAAGCAGATAAAAACATATGCATGTTCCAGTAATTCCACCGAGGACATATTCTAAAAAGGAACAGTTCCTTCCTTTGTTCCTCCGCCACCCGCCAGATGCTTCCTGTTATTCCACTTTCTGCGCTTCACTGTCACGTATGCAGGTAAACAACTTTGCAGTCAGTTTCGAGCAAAACAAGTCTACTGTGTATGTGTGCAGGCAGACTTATGTGTGTCTTGACCTCAGTGCATGACCTCCCTTTACGTCATCTGTTACCAGGCAAACTTCAATGCAGGCTGCTGAGACTAGACTTGTAGTCAAGACCGCCTAATCCGAGACCAAGACAAGACCAAGACCAGAGGGTATCGAGACCAAGACAAGACCAAGACCAAGACCAAGTTGAGACGAGACCAAGACCGAGACCGAGTCGAGACGAGACCAAGACCAAGACCGAGACAAAAAAAGTCTTTAAACTGCAGCCAGATGCTATTCTATATACATATTCAGGACACCTTAAACTAGTTTTTTAATTAAGCAGCAAGGCAGAACAAAGTCGGGCCTGTATCAAGACACAGGGACTAAACCCCAATTCAACCAGACCCAAAACTGATCTGGAATTAAAACAGGACTACAACAGTAACCAAGACAGAACCAGAATCAGAACTAGATGATAGTAGCACTAAAAATCATCATAGACCTGCACTACACTTATTTTTTAATTCTACCAAAGTACAATATTTAGATTGAGAAAAGTTTATATAATTATTTAGCCTCGTTGTGCAAACAAGCCTGCATAACTTAATAAATATAGAATTTGAAAAGTAACAAATGGTATCTAAAAAGAAACACTAGGTACTAGATACATGTTCTGATGAGTTTTGGCAAACAACCATTTGACTAACATGTGTGTCTCACCTGCTCTTGTTCCATCTCTGTTCTGTCGTCATTCTCTCTCTCCCTCTCTGTTCCTCTCTCTCCCTCTTTGTGCTGACAATCAAGCCAAACACCAACATCATCAAATATACAGTTGAAACCAGATATTTATGTACTCTTCAGATAAAAACACAAACACTTTTTTAATTGTAACATCAAATCACATGGACTCTACTAACCTATCAGAAGCTTCTTTAGCTCAGAATGGAATCGTCTGGAGTTTTCTTATTAATTAACAATAAACTTAGTGTATATGTACTCCTAAATTTGATGAAAGTGATTAAAATAGACAGCTCCCTCTTTTTATTCTGACATTTAACTAATTCAAAAGATATTTCAACATTTATTTATCTAAAACAAAAGTTTACTCTAAATTGATGTTTAACCAGTAAAAAGTTTTATTTTCTCCATAAACATATTTAAATTAGAGATGGCACGATACCACTTTTTTATGTCCGATACCGATACCGATATCATAAATTTGGATATCTGCCGATACCGATATGAATCCGATATAGTGTTTTTTAATCAACAAAACTGTTTTTTAAATATCTTGCTGCATTTTGTATAAGTTCATACTCAAGTTTAAAACAACAACTACACTAAAGCTATTCTGTTATACCTGTATACAAAAAAAATATTTCATAGTTCAGCAATACTGATCAATCTAATAAACTTAGACCTACACCATCCTCCCTATTCTGGTATTTTAAAGAGTACTTAGCGTAAATATTAAGCAACCTAACTAATAGGGTTCCAACTCCCAGCAACAACAAAAATAAATAAATAAAAAATAGGGAACCACCCCTCACGCTCCACCTCATGATGCTTAATCGACGTAATCAACATTAATTTGATGCAGTGTGAAAAAAAATGCACAGAAATCAATTATTTTTCAAGAAATATTAAATAGATTCAACATCTTTCTTCAACAAAATTGCAGACTGCACAGATGGTACCTTCCCAAAGGAAAAAGTACTATAGCTTACTAGGGTATATATATTAGACTTAATAGTCACTATATACACTAATTGACTTCTATTCATTTTACATCAAATTAAAACTTTGGGTGTCAGATAATTATTTATTAAAAGCTAGACATTTTAAATGAGAATAAGAAAGAAAAGTATGTCTTTGTGCCCCCTTTTCCCAGTTAATGCCCTATCGGCCCCCCTGGCTAAACTTTGCTAGATCCGCCCCTGCACAGTTACCAGCCGTCAGCTACGTAGAAAACGATCCTGGTGTAGAAAGTAATATTAAATAAATTGTAACAACAGCTTATCAAGCTTAAACGTGCTGCTGTTGTTCAGCCGCTGGTTTCCTCTTTCTGGCGCAAAGTGGACCAAAAACAAACAAGAGAGACTCGCGACAGAAAAGCCGATCAGCTGATCATTAGCAGTTTCACGATTGAAGTAGCAGCCGGAGAGCGAGAGGCAGTCGCTCGTTAAGCTTAACGCAGGAATGCTTTACAAAGATTCAGAGATGGACTTACACACTTGCTTTACTTCTCTCGGGGATAACTTTGTCGGAGATGAAATGCCAGGTTGCTAGCGAAGCTCCAAATGCTATCCAGACCACAGGTCCCGCATGCCACAGCCACTCTATCACGTGATGCATACTGCTCCGACGTGCTAACGTTCTGAGGTGAGTTACGGCGTATGTGAGGTGCTTTCGTGATATTTAATGGATCGGATTACATTTTTTATTTTTCTCCGATATCCGATCCAGTAATTTAGGTCAGTATCGGACCGATACCGATACGTAATATCGGATCGGTCCATCTCTAATGTAAATATCTGGTTTCAACTGTGAATATACTGCTGTGTATTGAAATTCCTCTTGTTTTGCATAGATATACTGAACAACATCCAAAGCATAATATATAAAATAACATCTACCTGAGTTTTTTCTTTGAAAGAAGCTCCTTATGTCCATTGTTGTGTTCATCAGTACACAACTGAAACCGATTTAGAGAGTTTGTTTAGCCGTGGAGGGTAACAACTGAAAATATGAAATGTAAGCTAAGACTAAAAAATCAGCATTGCTGTTCGGCTTTTTATTTATCCATTTGTTGATTCACTCGAAGAGCAAGTAACGCAACCAAGTGATCAGTTTGATATCAATCTTTTGTGATACACCGTCATATTTACATTATTAGTTCAGTACGAATGATTTGCTTTGGTACCTGGTCAAACTTAAGCTCTCCTCTGTCTGCAGCAAATTCGCAGGCAGCAGCTTCTCCCCCCTCGCTCACATGGGTGCTGCGCTCAGTCGCCTAGTGCCTGAGCTCGGATCATACCAAAATTAGGGGGAATTTACGACGGTGCGCTCTGTGCTTCGTGTGTTGTTTTTGGGCTTAAGCCCAGTAAGCCACCCCCCCCCCCCACTCCGCTGATGGTTGACTCCAAATCTCCCGAACACTATGTCGATTTGAGAACGCAAGACCGAAACAGCGAGACCAAGACCGAGACCAAGACAAAAGTCCGTCGAGACCAAGACCACGTAAAAGTGGTCTCGAGACCAAGACCGGTCTCGAGACATCCAACTCTACTGAGCACACAGGCCTATACAACATGTATAATATGTGGTGAATTGTACTGTAAGCATGTAGGCAACCTTTCAATAGCTGTGGGTCACCCTAACTTTCTCCATTGATCGGCCAGACGTCGCGCTGTCCGTAGCTTCAAACCATTAATTAACTTGACCGAGCTTCAGCTCTTTAATTAGCACAAAAATGCAATGTGTGTATAACATGATTACAGTTGCACCTGCAATGAAAGATTATTATATAACTATGCTCCCACCTGAAATACAGACTTTAATGTAACCGCAACAGTTTCAATAAATGCTCTAATGAAATGATAATGATAAACCATAAATGATGCAACAGTAATAATAATGGTTATGAATAGTAACAGTAAAATAATATTTCATCTCCACACTAGGTCAAGTTAATTAATGGTCTCAAGCTACGGCCGACGCAAGTTCGACCGATCAATGGAGCAAAGTACAGCTATTGAAAGGTTGCCTACATGCTTACAGTACAATTTACCACATATTAAAGGCCTGTGTGTGCATTCAGCAGCCTGCTGCATTGGAGTTTGTCTGGTAACAGATGACTCAAACGGAGTCAGGAAGTATACTTCTAAAATGTCTTTGTTTGTTGAGTGAGGTCATGTACTGAGGTTAAAACACAGACACATGGTCTGCCTGCACACATGCACAGTATATAGACTTGTTTTGCTTGTAAACGGCATGCTTATGTTCTGTTCTGAAGTGCAGCAATTGAAATAACAGGAAGCATCTGGCGGGTGGCGGAGGAACAGAGGAAGGAACTCTTCTTTTTTAGAATATGTTCTAAAACAGAATTACTGGAACATGCATGTTTTTTTTATCTGCTTGGACGCACAAG